AATGTCTCCTAGATATTGATATTGTAATTTAAAAAATGTATAATTGATATTGTGTAACAGGAAGTAAAGGTCTAAAGGAGCAGGGGAAGTGGGAGGGGTAGGGGAAAGGAAAAAAGGGAAAAGAAAAAATATGAGAAAAGGAAAAAAATGGTTACAAAGTCTTTGCAAATAGGGAGGGGTGGAGGGGGTGAAGGGAGGGCAAAAGAAGGGGAAAAAAATAAAAACCAAGATACTCATGTAATGGTACAAGATCCCAATGATGAATGTGACTGTATTTTATACCTAAAATGTACCAATGAACTTAATGGGGGAAAAAAAAGCAAAAAAAATATACAACCATGTAAAATAATTATGCAAAATAGTGCATTATTAAACTCAACTCCAGTGTTTATATTATATTTAAAACTCCAGTGTTTATATATATATTAAAAATATATATATAGTTGCCTTCTCATGTGTGTATGTATACAATCACACACACACACATCAGATTGCACAGACTTTAAGGATAAAAGTGTTTATATATATATTAAAAATCTTTACAGACCTAATGTAAAAATCTCACACAGTGTATCTGTTTGCTCAGTGATTGGAGCTGGAGTTCTCAAATACTTGACTGTTAAAAGGCAATATTTATGCATACATAAAATTCCTTGGCTGTCTGTTAAATAGCCTCAACAGCAAATGCTATGCTCAGTAGATGTTTTAATTAATAAATTGAAAGATAAGATTCATGAGCACTATATAAGATAAAAGTACAGGAAGACAAAATTGCAGATGGATGCATTTTAACTAAAAGGTACTGGCATTTCATTTAGCCAAAACTGTATTGCTATCAGTAGAAAAAAAATTAGAAAAACATATTACTATGATTCTTGAGAATTCAGAAAGAAAATTCTTTGTTGTATACAGTTAAATTGAAACATTATAAAGTTATGGATAAAAATTAATTTAGGGTTTTTCAAGTATAATTACCTTTTAATTACAAAATTATGGATAAAATTAATTTTAGTGTTTTTGAAGTATAATTACCTTTTAATTAGACATAAACATGTGAGTTCTAGATCCAGCTTTCTACTAATTGCTGGTCTATCTTCAGACAAATCACTTAACCTTACTGGATCTACTTTTCATTTAAAAATTTGCAAGAGTGGGAAACTTTGCTACCAATATTGCTTCCATCTTTGGCCTTATAGTTGCATGAAGATTTATAGTTAAGCTTCTTTCCCATATATTATCTCACTTTATCATTTTGACAATTTTTTAAGGAAGGCCTAGAAAACATAATTTTTTTTTGTAATGAATAAACAAGCTCAAGTAGTTAAGTGACTTACTAAGCCTGGTTTGTGGCGGCCCAGTGCTGTTTCTGAAATAACTCAAACTATCTCTGTGCGATAAGTAAACAATCTTTATTTCTCTATTTCAAAGTTAAGTTTTAAAAGTAGGTCTTCAATAAAAAATTTAAACTTGATAATTTAAAAGTGGTGTGAATATTGTGCTTAATGGTTTGAGCTTGGGTTAGCCAGTAAAATCCAATATGCATGTCCACATATGTTGACTGGTAACAGCTGCCTGAAATCCTATGCTGGGAATAATTTTGAGGCCAAGTTCAAGCTCACTTGGACAGTGTGCTATGTTAGGTTAATCATATATACCTTGGTGGATGGACAGGACAGTGGAAATGAACTACTTATAGAGGAAAGGGTCTTTTAAAGAAATTACTTTAGAACTCAGCAGTGTTTTATGAAGGGTATGATACTGATTTGCTTTATATCCAGTTTTATAAAGTGGTATTACTTAAGTTTAAGTAACATTTGTCATGAATGCTTTCTTTTTAGAAGAGCGTTCTTCTTAAGTACATGATTTGGGTGGCCTCATTTGTAACCATAAGATACGAAGGAATGTAGAGGATGCTTATATTTAGAATTTTAATGAGATAAATTGTGATCTGGAAGTTGAATGCATTATTTATATATATGTGATATATGTTGCATCAACATATTGTTATATAGATATATTTCTATTAATATATGTTAATATAATATGTACACATAATGCATACAGTAGTCTACCTTGTCCATGGGGGAATACATTACAAAACCTTGAGTGAATTCCTGAGATCATGGACAGTCCTGAACCCTATATATACTATGATTTCCCTGTAGGTACATACTTATGATAAAGCTTAATTTATAAATTACATGCAGTAAGAAATTAACAACAATAATTAGTAATAAAATAGAACAGTTATAACAGTGTACTCTAATAAAATTATATGAATGTGGTGTCTCTCAAAATATCTTAATTTCTAATATTTCATTGTAGTAATGTTTTGGATTGGACTTGACCGTGGACAACTGACAGTACATACAGAAAATGAAACCACAGAGAAGGGCTCCTACTGTAAAAGTCAGTGACCTCTGGACTATTCTGTATCAGTGTATGTTACTGTACTCTGGGAAAGAATGACAACATGGTGAATCAGTGACTGCTGTTTAGTGACTACCTACTGCATGTTATTCACAGTGATAGGTGTTTTAGCTCTTTTTATTTTCTCTCTGAGCTTTGCATTACTTCTTGAGTTAGATTTAATTGTTTCCTTTTAAAGCAGTGAACAGCTATACCCTAAGAAAGTTTAGAAATTGTCCAAGGTGACAGGGCTAAGAAAGTCATGGAGGCAGAATTCACACAAAGATTTAACAGGTTTCAAAGTCTTTATTCTTAGAAACCCAGCCCATATCATGTTGAAGTTTGAGGGTACAGATGTTTCTCAGTGAAGATCTGTGTTCTCTATCTGAGGACAACTTTTGGCTTTTAGTTTCATTATCTTTGTATGTTGTATGTCACAGACTCAGAGAGGAAAGTGAAACATACTATTAAAGGAGAATCATTATTTTCCAGTGTCTGCCAATGTGATACCAGTGACTTGTTTTTCTGTAGAGCATAATGTTTCATCTAATAAGCCATGCTCTAGGCCTAGAGAATTTATTTTAACTGAGACAAGAATTTTTGTCATTGGGCAAGTACATGGTATATGAATTGTGCTTTTATGCTACTTGTGGATTTAAGCTTCATTTAATAAGTGTTTTCCAATTTGACAAAGTATATTATCAGTAAAATCATATAATGTGGCCATAAATACCATTAGAATGTAATTTTTCTTTTTTTTCTCCAGATTCCTCGGTGTGACTCAGTTTTCGCCTACACATGCCAGAAAGGCATTTCCATGTTTTGATGAGCCAATCTACAAAGCCACTTTCAAAATCAGCATCAAGCATCAAGCAACCTATTTATCTCTATCCAATATGCCAGTGGAGACTTCCGTGTTTGAGGAAGATGGATGGGTAACAGATCACTTTTCACAGACCCCTCTCATGTCCACATATTATTTAGCCTGGGCAATTTGCAACTTCACACACAGAGAAACTACCACCAAGAGTGGGGTTGTAGTAAGTATTTTCAGCCTAATGATGTTTTTGGATAATGCATACTTTCTACCTGATTAACAAAGAATCATCTATAACCCCCTCACATTTTGTATAGTTTCTTTCTTTCTTTAATTAATGGGTGCAAAGTGTCTTCCTGATCTCAAAGTGTCAGAGAGGAGCTTCTTTTCTATACCTAGTCATTTCATTCCTTTAACTGCCTTCATCTCTAACTCATATTATCCCTGTCCCTTTTTTTTGATACTGGGGATCGAACTTGGGTCCTTGATCCCTGTCCCTTCTTGTCTCCACCCCTTTCCTGGGTATCCCAAGAACAGCCTTTGTTTCTTCTAGGAAATTGCCTGTTTCTCTTTGTATGGCTGGGAAAGTTGCTGCTTTCTATGTGAAATAATTCAGATATACTGAACATGTGACAAATAATATAATAAACTCCATATACCTATAGCAGATCCGTAGAATCTAAATATATTATCATCTTTGCTTCTATTTAATTTAGTTGTTGAGAAAGTAAAATATTGAATGGAGTTGGAGCTCTCTGTGTAGCCCTCTCTGATTTCATTGCTTTGCCCTTTCCTTTAGAGATAATCATTGCCCTGAATTTGGGGTTTGCCACTTCCATGCATATATATATATATATACACATATATACATGTATACATATACATGTATATATATGTATACATACGTATACATATGTATATATATGTATACATATGTGTATATACGTATATATGTATACATATATATGTATATATGTATATATACGTATATATATGTATACATATATGTATATATATATGTATATATATGTATATATATCCATTTATAGTAATTGCCATGCTTTAACATTTAATATAAGTGATTTTACATTATAATTGTCATTGTGCAACTTATTTTCTATTTCATTTTATTTTCTTAGGGTGAAGTACAGGTAGCATTTTCTGTATTAAATTTATAATCAAGATTGATTGGATTCTCTTTGATCACTATCATTTGTAATACTGTTGTGTTCTAAGCTCTTTAGAAATACTGTTGCATTATATTAGGTTAGGCCATGCCATGTTGAATTAAAAATTTCTTCATTTGAATGGCTTAAACAATAAACATGCATTTTTTTACTTTTCATATTAACTTCAAGGCAAAGTATTATGATTCTCTCTCTTTTTTTCATGTGAAATGAGTACAGTTTAACGAGATTAAGGAACTTGCCCAAGGTGAAAAAGTAAGAAAGTGGAAGGATCAAAATTCACATCTGATTGTTTGATCCCAAACCCATTGGGCATTCCCTCCTGGCTGTGGGAACTCTGTGTTCACAGTAGTAAGATGTCTACAAGAGAATTCAGCTTGTAATTCAGTGTTGTTTGAACATAACAGGTGAATAGAAATTTGTATTTTCAATCTGTGGGAAGTTCTTGGCTCCCTAATAATTTTGATTTTGAAAAAGAGTTCTGGCTAAAGACATTTTTCTATTACTTTTAATTTGAATCACTGTGGAATCTGCTCAAAAATACTTTACTTGCATACAAAATTATGGTATTATTGAAGAACTGTATTGAATAATTTCATTTGTATAATCATTAAAATAATATCTTAAATGCTCACCCAATAGGTCCAGCAGGCATTTTACTTTTGGAGGCTTACAATGATTTGAAATGTTGAATTCCTCTAATTCTTGTTGGTGTCTTCTGTGAACATTTCAAAAATGTACTTATTGGACCATACACAGAAAAGGGACATGAAGACGTTTCATTTCCTTTTGCATCTTCAAAAGTCGATGTCTGACTCGCTGTGGGTCAGCTAGTATAAGGTACACTGGAAATGCTTTTGCTTAGTGTATTTTCTTTATAAAGTGTCCTGAAAATGTTCTTAGCCATACACAATTATGCTTGTTGCTAAGTGACCTCCTTTAAAAGCAAGACATGCTAATTATTTAGATATGACTTTTTATTGGAGTTGCAAATTTCTAAGTAATTAGTAAACATTTTAAAATTCCTGCCTAATAATTTTTATATAGAAAAGACAAAACATATTAACAGAATGCATTAAAAGGTCAACTGAGATAAATTTTTAGATTGCACAATCTAAAAATACTAAATCAGTAAACAGGAAAACAAAATTGCCACTGGGAGTTCTTGTTTATCAACTGTGGAAAAATAGTTTGAAACTTCTGTCACCCTTTTGAAATTCAATCTACTTCCTTTGCAGTGCCTTTCCCCTTTATTACTGGGAGCACATGGGAATGACATTTCTCAACCCTTAACAGCTGTAAGGAGAGGAAGTTTAGCTTTAGAATCTTGGATGTGGGACTGTCTTGTGAAGCCCAGGTGGTCATTTCAGATCGCAAGCGGAAGCAATTTTCTTTGAGTTATGAGAAAGGAACTTGAGTAGCATATTAATAATACACAGCTGAATCGTAGCAGTGCCCTAAATGTGACTACTTGAGGTGTCATCATCACTATCATTATTTGTTTATCAAGCTGCCTACACTTTGCAAAGCACTATTCTAAGTAATTAGAAAGATAGTAAGTCTAAGATCCCTCTAGTATGGAGATTACAAATACAACTTTTCATGTTGAATCCACATCTTCAGATGTGTTTTGTTTACCCGTCCCTGAAATGGTTTAGCATTTTTTCTAATTAATTGTCAACTCTTAAATTTGAGAGCTTGCAAATAAATTATTTATTTTCTGGCTTCTTTTAAAAAATCAAAGGCATTGTGGCACTGGACCCACATTCCCGCTTGGTAATATTTTTTCATTCATTTTTTCCTTCAACAGATACTCATTGACTGAGAGTCAATACTGTTCTTGGCTCTGGTGACTTAGCAGCAAATGAAACAGAAGCTCCTGCTCTTAGGTAGCTTATGTATTAATGAGGAGAGAGAAGCAATAAATATGTAAATGTATAATATGTCAGGAGGTGATACACAGTATAAGAAAAATCTGTACACTGGAGCTGGATGGTGGCCATCTCCTTTACATGGCAGATTGCTTCATGATGTGGCTCAATCCAGTCCATGTGTGTTCTTTCATACCTACTCTACTCCACTGTGCATATTACCTGCTTCAATTCTGTAGATACTTGAATTTTCAGGTCTAGTCTACAAGCATAATTCAGGAAGACAGCCAAGAAATGTGCATAGGAAAGGGAATGAATTTATCAGTTGTGAGATAGTGTCACTAGTATTCATTAATTGTCAAATAGGAGTTGTAAAAAATATGTTCAAAGCCTTTTAGGAGGAGAGAGAAATTGCTGAGGGTTGGAGTCTAGGGATATGCTTCAAGGAACTAATAAGGCCCTGAATGATGATTTGTTCTTAAAAGAAGCAGATAATGTACATATAATCATTGGTAGGGGAAATGTGAATAAGAAAATAAGAAAAATGTCAAGGTAGGGATATCTCCATAGACAATGGACATGGACAACCTAGATTTTAGAATCAGGTAGGTCTGTTTCAGAATTTTTGGCTTTGCTGTTCTGTTATCTAGTTAATTACTTAAATTTCCCTTTTCTGATTATTTTGTTTGAGAATTTAAAGTATGAATTCTTCCTTTTCAATATTGTTCTAGTTACTGTAATGCCTTAACAAACTACTTCAAAACTGAGTAGCATAAAACAACCGTTTGTCATACTTAAAGTTTCTATGGGTCAGGAATTTGCAGGGCATAGTGTGAGTAACTCTGCTCAGTGATGCCTGGGCCTCAGTTAGGAAGACATGATGACCTGACAGCTGTTAGCAGGATCATTTAGAACCATGTTAATCTGGTGGTTGTATTTAGTCTCCTGGAATGTCACATAGATGACCATAGCATTTATGTATGGCTTCTCTGTGTGTGCTGAAAGCATAGTAGCCACAGGATGACTGGATTTTAAAATGGTAGTTCAGTGCACAAAAAGGAAAGTCCCAAAAGAACTAAGTGGAAGGTTTCTATGGTCTTTTTTGACTTAGCTTTAGAAATCACATATCATTTTTACTAGATTCTGTTGGTTATAAGTGAGTCACTAAGGATAGTTCTGACTCAATAGGAGAAGGCATAGACCCCAGCTTTGAATGGAAGGAGTGTCAAAGAATTTGTGGACTTGTTTTAAAATTAACAGTCTGTTCTTTGCCCACAAATTATTTCCATTTAATGTGCAATATATACTTGTCAATGGGTCTCATCTTATTAAAAGCATCAAACTGAAGTTTGAGGTCCATGATCTTACCAGCCAATTTAGATCTAAATGAGATGACTTGGGTTTGGTTTTTTGAGCATAGCTTCTCTCATTCTGAAGACTTTTTACCTAAATAAAAATGTTATTAATCCTTCTTTCCCCTACTTCAACAGACAATGGTGAAAATGGAATATAATTATTGCAGTAGCTTTCAAGAATGGAGAATATGGGAAGACAATAGTAGTCATTGGCCCATAGCAGTTCTGAAATCCAACCCGCCAATTCTTTAATTATGGTTCAGTTAGAATTCAGTTTTTGTCTTTGAAGCCATTCTCTTCCAAGTAAAAGTAGTTCATGTTTACAATAAATAATGATTGCATAAAAATAGTTTGTGTTTGCAGTTGAATAACTTCAGCTTGGTCCTACAAATAGAAAATATGGGGGCCCAAAGGCAAATGTTTGTTTTGTATTAGGTCTGTTACTTAAGTTTAAGCAAATTTACTCATGTAAAAAATAAACTATTGGCTTTTTAATCTATTAAGTCACATCCATTTCATTAGACAAAACTATGCCCCACAGATTGCTTTAAGGTGAATCTATTCTGAGGCTTTGTAGAGTAAAGAATCTTAGATGTTCATTACTTAGCAGAGACACTTTATGAGGCATGCCCTCTGATTTTATAAAACCTTTTTTCCTTTTGGAAAACTTATGAACTACCACTTTAAGAGTTTCTGAGGCCTTAAAACATAATGCTTTTGGCTTCATCTCCAAGCTATGTGACTTTTTTCATCTGAAACTTCCTTATTTTGAGAATCTTCTGCTGCCTAGTGAAGCCGGGAAGGACAAAG